TTTAACCACATAAATGCCCAGTCAGCATTCTCCTCACACTCAAACTTTAATGGCGCTCCAGCAGCCCGACAGACTACAAACAACATGTTGGAGCTGGAATCAGTGAGGTAACCTGCAGTCATTTGTAGTTGGTTATTAAGGGATTAACCCCTTTGGATTAGTCTCAGCTATGTTTCCCATCTGTCCACCGTTACAGCATAGACCTGCTGATGCACGAGCTCTGCAGGACGCACGCTAAGACACACACACACACACACACAGGAGACCACAACAAAAGACGTATTAGAAATATGTCTCCATGAGCATGTGAGCAAATCTTTTCCAACTGACCTACTGTACTGTAAATCTACAATATGTGTGATCATACATGCACGCACACACACTGAACACATTTGCTTACATCACATGCATGCATTCTGCAGACACGCTTATGAAAAATACATGCACACACTAATCTGTGATTAGCTGAGTGAACAGGAGACATGCAACTCATACACGAGAAGGTGGAATCAGTGACGTGTGGCTTTGAACACAGCTGTCTCTGTTTAGATTTAATGTATGAGTATGTTACTGTGCTTGTGAGAAACTGTGCATAACTTTTCGTCTTAATGGGATTGTTGTTTAATTTAATTTATATTATTTAGCTGAAGAAAATCTAAAAGATGAATATGAAGACCTGGGATTTACTACAGAAAACAGTGAGGTTATACATGTAGATATTTTCTGTGGCTTAGTTCGAAAAAGCCATTAAAGAAAACACTTTACGTTATAGTGGATTTAAATGAATAATAGCTTTTCAATTATGTGAGACCCCAACCTGAACAATCGCCTTACATTCTGCATGTCTCTGTCACACTTTGTGTATTGTAGTTATTACCTAACTTAATAAATTACCCAATTCATTAACTTAAGCCAAAGGCTCATTAAACCAGATTAGTTTTGCTAGAGTCAGCAGCATCGTATGGGGATTTAAATAACTTTTTAAACATATAATGCATAAAAAAATCGTTTGTGCCGTTTTAATAAAAAATCTATTCATATTTTCATAATGTTTTAAAATATGTAACCACCAGTAAGTGTCTTTAAAAACCCAACAAACAAAGCTGCTAATTTATGACTCATTTTATTTTTTTTATTTTTATTTTTTTGTAGATGACAACTTGTAACATGTATTCTGCTAGATATACACCAAAAAACATCCAGATAAAACATTTCGTTGTTAAAATAACAAATTTACAGCATTACGCACAATTTAGAGTTTGAATGCTGAATGCTTTTCATTCAAGCAACCATATTTGTTCTGTATTGTGACCCAGCAGGACTAATCTGAACTGACATGAAATAATATTCACTCACATGAAGCCACTTTACTATTAGTCACCCTGTCAGCTGATTCCACAATATCTGAAGAGTAAGTTCAGATGAGGAAAATGGCCT